GCCTCTAGTGAAGCCTTTCTGCTGTGCCCTGGGGAGGAACCAATGGGAATCACGGGCAGGGGGACCCCCAGAGTGTGGGTAAGGGGTTCGTGTAACATGTCTTCAACAGCTCCCTGAGCAGACTTCAGTAAAACACCACACAAAGCCAGGTACCAGGGCTCAGGCCTGTTCATCCTAGCTACTCAGGAGGCTGAGATCTGAGGATCAGAATTTGAAGCCATCCCAGGCAGAAAGTCCATGAGACTCTCTAATGAACCAGCAAAAAGCCAGAAGTGGAGGTGTAGCTCAAGGAGAAGAGCACCAGCTTTCAGTGAAAAAGCTATGGGACAGCGCCCAGGCATGAGTTCAAGCCCCAATATATGTACCACACCATCCTACAACCTTCTGATCAAAGATCCCCATACACACATATGTGTTCTAGCACAGCCTCACTTACATGTGTAAGTACTTTATGGCATTTGCACAGCCAAATCGAAATGTGTTATATTGAGATGTGTTAGGTGGAGACACACCCCTGATGTTAACAGCTATGCGTGACCAAATTTCCATGGAGGTAAGTTCATTCACAAGAACACTGATATGAAGGATTGAGTCCTGCCTTATTCCCTAGGGTCAAGCAAAGCACCAGGTGCTCACTCACGTGCTTGTCCACAGGCAGGTCATTCCAACCTTTGTTTTGCCAGTCTGAGAAGTCTTAGGCCAGCGCACTGGAAGAATGGTTGACTCAGATGGTGTTTTTGGTAGGGACGTGGTCTTTCTCAGCAGCAGCCTATTTTCCCCCAGTGGCCTGATATTTTTCCCCAGCTATCTACTTCCTCCAGTGACCTGACACACAGGGCACAATAGCCCCTCACCCCAGGTAGAGCATTGGTTTTTTTTAATTTTCTGCTTCCTTGTTAAGGCCTATGTAAGCCCACCCCAATATCCAGTCCCTCACACAACCTCCAAACCCATGGAAAGGTCTGTGCCCCTCGCTGGCAATAAACAGTCCTCACCTGTTGAGGATCGAGTCCAGCCTACTTTTCCATTCTCCTCCATTTTCCTAACACTGAGATTTAAGGTGAAGAAGCAGGGCTATCTACCCCCATTCCCAACCCCCATGCTATCGCACAAGACAGCTATGAATCTGGCTGCAATGCACATTTCTCTCTGCCTGGCACCCTTGCCACAACCCCACAACCCCACCCTCTCCCATGGGCATCTGTCCAATTCTCCCAGTTTCTTTCACACACCGCACATCTGCCCCTCCTCTGATTGCTGTTAGCCCTTCTGTACTCACACCCAGACCTACCTGTTGGCAGTTGGTACACCTGTGTGGACTCTCTGGGGCATCCATCCTCCTGGCCCCTGATACCTGGCAGTCTACCTACACAGCCTGCAGCATGGGACATCCATCCCATTTATACTGGCCAAACCCATTCCACGGGGAACTGCCACTTGTCACATCAGAAGGCTAGTATCTGTTTCCCTCCACATTTCTTGTATCGAAACCTTAGCTCCAATTAGATGGCATTAGGAGGTAATTAGATCAGGAAGGTCAAGCTGAGGGGGAAGGGGGGGAATGGGGAACTGGTAAGTAAACAGGGATTAAAAGAGGCAGATTTGTGCCTGATAATAAGGGGCTCATCTCGGTGCTTCTGGTCCGGTAGTGCCTCAGCTCAAATGCTTCTTCCCAAAATGCCCTAGGTGCCCTACTCAACCAACAAAAAGATCCAGCTCAGCAATATGTGTGAAGCCCAGGGGAGAGGACGTGGGAGGAAAGCCCCCATACTAAAACAAAACAAAAACAAATGCCCCCCCTCCTCCCCAGGACTTCACTTGAAGCCTCTTTAGGGCAACTTTATACTCAAGGCTCTCCTTTCACTTTCAAAACCGACTTACTGTTTAAACACTTCCTAGTTTTTCATTCTTTAATGGCTGGAGAAAATGACAGCCTCAGAGACCTGGTGAAGAGGTTGATGTACTTTTAGAATAGGCCTCAGTGAGCTCTCTCACTGTCTTCCTGCCACAGAAGACAGCAGCAAGACCTAGTGATGAGTGACCAGAAGAGGCCCTCGCCAGAACCCGACTGTGTGGCCACTTCGCACTTGAACTTTTGGCCTCCAGAACCAGGAAAGCAATTCTTCCTTAAGCCAGAGAGGCTATTCAGTGCAGCATCACAGAGTGAGACCATGCCACATAAAAAGAGAGATGAGGAGACATTTCTGGGGCCATGAGTAGTGTCCACTTTCTGACTACTTCAGCGGGGTATACAAAGGGCAAGGCTCTGGTAATGCATGCAGGTATCTGCTGTCATATGGATCTGGAATGTTCTGCTGAATGGTGTGGCTTTAATATGCCCCCTGCCCCAAGGCTTGTGTGTTGAAGGTCTGGTCCTAGTGTAAGCACTGCACAGTTTGGGGAAAGTAATTGGATCATGAGAGCTCTGCCTTTGTCAATGGGCTCATCCTGTCATGGACTCAAAGGGTGAACAGAAGTGTGAATAAAGCAGAGGGAGATGCTAGAACTGTGAAAGTGTGGCCTGATCCCAGGAAGGGTTGAGCTTGTGAAGGATGTGTCTTGTTGTCCCCTGCTCCTCTTTCTCTCCCTCTCTCCCCATTTCCCCCTCTCTGCTTCCTGGCTGCTGCCATGAGAGGAGCAGCTTTCCTCAGCCAGGCCCACCCACCATATGCTTCTGCCTTGCCAACAAGCTAAAAGAAATGGGGCTAGCTGATCATGGACTGAAACGGTGAGGTTTATAAAATAGATAAAAGTCTCCTTTGAATCGTTTTTCTTGGGTATTTGTCACAGCAATGGAAAGTCTGAGTGATATATCTTCCCAAAGGCCCATGTTTTGTTAAAGGCTTGGCCCCCCAGGGTGAAGCCAATGGGAGATGGTACCTAGTGGGAGGAATCTAGGCTGTTGGGAACTGCCCTTGAAGGGAACATTGGGTTCCCCTGGTTCCGCTGGTTTCCCTCTCTCTTTTCTTCCTGGCACCATAAGATCTCTTTGCCAGGTATTCCATCTCACAACAGGGCCCCAAACAACACAGCCAATTAAATGTAGACTGAGAGTCCCCCACCCCTTAAACTGTGAATCAAAATAAAATTTATATTCAGTTGTTTGTCTCAGGTATTTTATCAGTCACAGAAAAGTAGCCAACACAGTACATACATATGCACTCGTGTGCGCACACACACACACACACACACACACACACACACTTCCATACATTTTCTATAAATTCTCATGTAAATCCTAAAGGGCAAAAGAACACTCAACTGGTTTATTGTCTTTGTTCTTTCTATATAAAGCCATATGAATCTTTAACAGATTCTGTATTATATGGCCCTGGGCCCCTGTCAGTGCTGAGTCTCTGATTGTAAAATGATAAACCCTGGCTCCAGGTGGGCCAGAGGCTCAGACCCAGCCCAGAGACAAGGCCAGAACACCTGCAGAGGGGCTCACAAGAGCACATCTCTGCTCTACAGCAGATTCCTCACCCAGATCCACATGGCCATGCTGCCCACCAGACATCTACCACCAGCACATAGACTGCCCTAGGACCTGCACTTCCAGACACCCCTTCCTGTGGTCATGACCCCTCCCAAGCCACAGCAGTAAGAGGGCTTCTTAGCTGGGTTCTGAAGACTTGTAATGCCTTCTATGTAATATTATTACCTCACCAATATTACCTCCTAGGTTACATTCATTACCTCACCAATATTATCTCCTACATGGTATTCATTACCTAGGAAGCTGAGATTGGGGGTGGATCGTGGTTCAAGATCGTTATAAGTATAAAGGTGAGACCCCTTCTGAACCAACAGCTGGGGGTAGGTGGTGTGTACCTGTCATCCTAGCTGAGTGGGAAGCTAAAAGTACACCTGGTGGCTGGGATTGGCAGCTCATGTCTGTAATCATTGCTACTCAGGAGGCTGGATCTGAGGATTATGATCTGAAGCCAGCCCAAGCAGAAAAGTCCCTGTGAGACTCCAATTAGCCACTCAAACAACGAAGTAGCGCTGTGGTTAAGTGGTAGAGAACTAGCCTTCAGCACAAAGAGGCTCAGGGACAGGACCTAGGCCCTGAGTTCAAGCCTCAAAACTGACCAAGAAAAAAAAAAGTATACTGGTAGATTTTATAAAGGCTCATCTCCTCTCCAGCTGCCCCCTGACCTCCAAATTTTCACACCTATAGCATTCATACTCCAGCCCTGAATCCAACTCAGGTTTATGTGTATCTAATATCCCAACAATTCCCTCTACTAAAATCTCAGCCTGCACAGCCTGGGAAGCCACATGCATTTCCCTGGCACACGCTAGAGGGGAGGCTGCTGTCCCATCCAAGGACACAACCAGCATCCCCTGCAGCGGCCACAAATGCCACCTTCCCGAGTCTCTGTCAGCTCAGAGACACACAGGATGTGACACGCCTCTTCCCACACCAGCTCCTGAGCATCTGGCAGTGGACGGAATGGAGTTCTCCAAGAATCTATTTCGTGGTAAGTCATCCTTTGAATAACCCCTAGATGCAGATGATTGTCCATTCACTCTTTTTCTGCCTTGAGGTGCACATTTTATACTCTGTGGACAGCAAATATGTTCACCAAGACAGACTTATACTCACAGAGGCTGAAGTGGTATAGTCCCAGGAAGGTGACGCCCAAATTACAAGCAATGAGGACCCAGCCAAAGAGGTGCAGCTCAACAGGAGGCAAGAGGCTGAGACCAGTGCTTGTAATTCCTCACACACAACCATGACAGGAGAAAAAGAAGGGCACAGGCCCTTGACCAACGGGCCCTACCCCTCTCCTCCCTCACACCACCTCAGCAAGGAGGGGTATGAGTGTTTTTTTACTGACGATCCACTCGCTATGACAGAACCAGAGTAAGCCCTGACTTCCAAGCCCCACGCCTGGTCTTCAGGAACACATGCCCTGTGCCTTCTGACTCTAGAAGGATGCCCATGCTCCCTGCCCCTCCCCATCAGCCCCTGCTTGTGGGATAAGAGCACACACCTTCTCCGTCTGCACTCAGGTTCTCGTATGAGTCCCAGCGGATGAGAGGGTCAGCCGTGTTGTAATCCACAATTATCCCGTGGTCGCTGTGCAGGTGCTCAGACCCTGTGGGGCACATGGGAATGTCAGTCCTGGCAAGGCCCAGCCCCTTTGGCCTCCTGACACAAAGAGTAAAGGGCTGCTAAGGTTCTGGACTTGAGTGCACAATAATGACAACTACACTTGCCATCTCTCCTCCCACAGCAGGGAGCTAATCACAGGCAGAAGGCAGGATTTCTGACAAATATAACAACAGTTAAGACAGCTCAGGGAAACTGCAGGATGGACAGGGGTCATTTGTGGACTGTGGTTCAGAGCACAACTTCGGGATCATCTGACAGGTGAGGACAAATGTGCCTCATGCCAGACTCTGAGCATGGCCCTGAGAAAGCCTTCAGTCGGTCAACAAACACCAACAGGATTGCTCACATAAAGTCTTGGGTTTGTGGTTCCTGCCTAAATCTATGACAAGAAACCTGGGAAAAGGGTAATTATTACCTAAGGTATTAAAAATGGAGGGCTGCAGAAACGACTCAAAAAATGAAAGGCATCAGTGGCTCATGCCTGAAATTCTGGCTACCTGCGAGGCTGAGATTGGGAGAATCATGGATCTAGGTTTGCCCAAGTACAAAAGACTCTGAATGATAGGCACTGCATGTGGTGGCATGCACCTGGCATCCATTCCAGTGGAAAAAAAAGGAGGATTACAGCTTAGGTGTACAAAGCCAGGCAGGAAGCAAGACCCTAGCTCAAAATTAACCAGTGCAAAAACAGAACTGGAGGTGTGGCACAGCAATGCAGCACCTCTAGCAAACGTATGGTCCTGAGTTTAAAGCCTAAGTGTATCTCCCAAGAAATCTCAGCATGAAACATTCACAAATAGGATCCCCAGTGTCAGCTGACCTAAATGACAGGGTTTAGTTTTCATTTATTTGTTTTGTTAGCTGTGGGGCTTGAACTCCAGGGTCTGGGTGCTGTCCCTGAATACCACTTTAAGCCACAGCACTACTTCCCTGTTTTCCGGTGGTTCATTGGAGGTAAAAGTCTCAGGGACATTCCTACCCAGGATGGCTTTGAACCATGATCCTCTGATCTCAGCCTCCTGAGTAGATTACAGGTGTGAGCCACCATTGCCCAGAATTTCGCTTCTTCCAAAATGGGCTTCTATGAGACAGGTGAGAATCTGTCTTGTACTCAGGTATTTGCTGTGTTCTGTCTTGTAAGTCCCCTTTTTAAATGTTGTTTGTTAATGTAAACATTTGGCACAAGCTCATAGGAGGTGGAATGTAAAGCCAAAAAACCATCAGAGCCCCTTCAGGACACCCCTGCCTGAAGGGGTCCCTGGGTTGTTGGCAGGTGACCTGAAAGGGTCACCAGGGACATGGTAGGGCTCCCCCAATCTGAAAGGGTCCCTGGAGCATCCAATGGGTGACAGTCTCTGTGAGCTGCCCAATATCTGCTTGTCTTTTTGTTTTTTTTTCTGCTTGTCTTCAAAATGTTATTCAACAACTGGGCTCTGTGGCTCATGCCTGTAATCCGAACTATTCAGGAGGCTAAGATTTGAGGGTCACGGTTCAAAGCCAGCCCAGTAGCAAAGTCTGTGAGACACTTATCTCCAATTAAACACTAGAAAACCAGAAAAGGAGCTGTGGCTCAAAGCAGTAGAGTGCTAGCCCTGAGCAAAAAAGATCAGGGACAGCACCCAGGCCCTGAGTTTAAGTCCCAAGATGAACAAAATAACTAAAATAGAACACTACTCAAACTTTCCACATACTGCAAAGGTGGGAGTTCGTATAGCCCCCAATGCTGCCAGGATCTTTATCCGCTGAGGACAACACCCAGCCCCGCCGCTGCGTCCTTCCTACTACCTACCTTGGATCTTCTCAGGTGTGGCTGAGAACACTAACTCAACCTTCCCGTAGTCAGGAAATCGATCATCTGCATAAAAGAAACAAAAAACACATTACAGCATGTGGGGAGATGAGGACCCCCAAGTATGCACTGTATGTGTGCTGCCACATCCATCAGTACAGCATTGCACCCAAATATGAATGTATAGTAGCTGTGCTTCCATGCTGTCTTTGTGGTCTTCCTTCACAGATCAACCATCAGCTTAAAAAAAAAAATTTTGTGTGTCATTCCTCCGACTTTTTTTTTTTTTTCCAGTCGGTCATGGGGCTTGAACTCTGGGCCAGGGCGCGGTCCCTGCACTCTTCAGCTCAAGGCAAGTGCTCTACCGCTTGAGCCACAGCGCCACTTCTGGTTTTCTGGTGGTTTATTGGAGATAATAGTCTCACAGACTTTCCTGCCCAGGCTGGCTTTGAACTGTGATCCTCAGATCTCAGCCTCCCCAGTAGGTAGGAGTATAGGCATGAGCCACCAGTGCCCAGCTTTCTCGGATTTTAAATCTGGACCTGAGCTTTGTCCCTTAGATCTTTTTACTCAGTGCTCTCCCACTTGAGCCACAGCTCCACTTCTGACTTTTTGCTACTTAATTGGAGATAAGAGTCTCATAAGACTTTTCTTTCTTGTCCAGGTTAGCTTTGAACCATGATCCTCAGCTCTCAGACTCCTGAATAGCTAGGATTATAGGCATGACCATCAGTGCCCAACAGTTTTTCTTTATATTGGTAAGAATTTTGTCAACAAGCATAATGTGAAATGAAGAGAGTGTAGGAAGGACAGAGAAGAGCATCCCCAGGATTCCCCGTGGACAAGGCCAGCTCCCCACATACCTATACAGGCATTGTCCAGCTCCTCCTTCCCAAACAGGAGCCTGTAGCCCTGCACAGCCCCAGTGTGAAACTGCAGACGGAAAATTACGTCACGAGTGGCCGACCTGTACTTTTTATGGTAGCATTTCACCTGAGAAAGAGAGAAAGAAAGGGAAAACAGGTGAGGAAGAGCCTCATGGGAGAGCCCACCACTCAGAGGATGGGCTATGTGCCTCAGCCTCCACCTCGGAACAGATGCAGCCAATGAACACTGACATGTGCTGGAGTTTTGTGAATGTGAGTCTGAAGATGCCAGGACGGGAGAAACACAAGCACATGGCCTCTGCTGTGACAGCGAAGACACCCGAGTCACCTCCCTGAGATCCTGTGTTGTTTCAATGGAAGCAAAGTTCCAAAATACCAGGATCAGCTCAATGTGAGACAGGCCCACCTCCCTGTGAACCACAGAAGCGGCCCCTAGGGAAGTCTGAGCAGATAGTCTGAGCGTTAGCATCCTGTGGTTTCTTTATTTCCAGATTCGAACAACCCATTGTGATGAAGCTTACCTTTCATCGAAAATCTTGTTTTCAATTCTGATTTTCCAATTGAAAACATTTAAGATTTTTCTGCTTTCAGATACACTGCAGGGCACCAGTGGCTCACACCACCAGGGCAGAAAAGTGCACAGCAGAAAAGTCCGTGGGACTCTGATCTCCAAGTGAGCTTAGTGAGCAGGACAGCACTCTGCACATGGGAGATGGACAGGATGCCTCCCTGATCAGCCCCTTCCTGAAGACCACATTTGATGGTGCCAGGTGGCTTGGAAACTTCACAGACTTTACAAAGCTAAATAAGAGGCAGTATAGCAAAAACATGACCCACAACCAGCCATGCTGTTCACTCCTTGGGTGACAGCATCATCGCCCAGTCTCCAGAGAAAACATTCCACAGAAGCAACAGAAAAAGATGCCCAGGAAGCCAAGGAAGCCAGGGAAGCTGGGCACCAGGGCTGGCAAGCAGGCCCAGGACTTGTGTACATTGTGCTATCAGCCAGGAAACAGGTTGATAACAGACATACCCAGGGCCACACGCAATGTTCCCTGTTGACAAACACAAGCTGATCGCTTGCTGCATACCAGGCGCCACTGGACTCCTGTAAACATGTAGGGATAGACACAGGCTGGCCCTCAGGGTCTGGGCTTAGCAGACTGCCATTGGCAAGCAGCACTGGGAGGAATGAGAAGGCCTCTATTGGCTTCCCAATGGCCGGTGGCGTCCTGACTACAAGTCTTTTCTCCTCCTCTGTGTCCTGGAGTCTGACTTTTCAGGAGAACTCAATCAAAGACTGCTCTTGCAGCCAGCTATCCTTCCAGAATGTTCTGGCTGCATCCGAATCCTCCTTAAAACCCTTATGATCCATACTTGCCATTGGCCCAATGCTTCAGCCCAGGCATAGGAAGGAGACTAAATCCACACTCACCACCTCCCATGGATACATGGGTACCAGCAAGAGTGGGAGATGACACTGGGGAAAGGAAGAAAGCCCAGATCTGAGCCAGTCTTGCTCTCTCAAGTTTTTTTGTGTGTACCAACTCAGGACTTAGGCACACTGTCCTTTAGCTTTTTTTGCTCAAGGTTGGTACTGTACCACACGAGTCATACATTCACTTCCGGCTTTCTGGTGGTTAACCGGAGATAAGAGTTTCACAGACTTCCCAATGGGTCTGGCTTCAAACCATGGTCCTCAGATCTCAGCCTCCCAAGTAGCTAGGACTTCAGGCATGATCCACCAAGGCCTGGTTCAATTTCTATTAATACATGGGAGAATCAAAGATTGAAAAAACAAGGAAGTTTCAGATTGCTGACAAAGAGGAAAAGAGGCAGACTCGAGTACAACACCAAGCACAGCTCTGAGTGGAAGCTGGGAGGACCCCCTGGAGGAGGTGACAGCTCATTTCTTCGAGAACATTCCTCCTCTTCAACCTGCTCTGAGTGACAGGGGCTCACTTGCTCACTCACCATGCAGTCGCCTCCCCAGCCTGCACAACTGTTTCTAAGTCTGAGCCTCTTGCAGGCCCGCTGGGTCCTGACCACCTCCCCCAGGAGCTCAGGATGCCTGGGCAGTGTAGTTTCTGCTCCAGGTGCTCCAGGTGCTCCTGGCAGCTACTCACAAACACTGAGACTCACCCCATAGAATCCTGACACTTCACACCCCAGGCCTGAAGGGTGAGGCGTGGATCTGCACCCCAGAGTAAAGAAAGACAAGACAGTTCCCAGGTGCCTCACAGGAGGCACCCTCCAGGCTCTATGATGCTCCTGCTTGCAGAAGACTATGGGTTGAAATCCAAAGTCTGTTGGCAAATCCCCATGCCAGGAAATACCTGCGGTGCCATATTCCGGAAAGGTCCACAGGTAAGATGGCTGGCATGCACGCCTGCACACACTCTCTGCCTCCCACCCAACTTTCCTTCCTGGCCAGCAGGTGAGCTCTGCTCACCATCACAGCAGCCCCACCACACCATGGACCAGTCCTGGAGCTGAAACCTCCAGCCAAAGACCCTGCCCTGGTGCCCTCCAGAGACTGCAAAGTCGAGTCATTATCAATGTCAAGAAAATTTTGTGGCATTATTGGCCAGAGATCAGAAGTGAGCCCCTTACACTCAGCAAGCAAAGCAAGGCTCTGTCTGATATAGGAACCAGGAGCCTGTGACTCACACCTGGAATCTTAGCTACCCAGGAGGCTCAAATAGGAGGCTCATAGTTCAAAGCCATCTAGGACAGAAGATGCTGTGAGACACATTTCCAATTAATCACCAAATATCTGGAAGTGGAGGTGTGGTTGGGGTGGCAGAGCACCAGCCTTGAGCAAAAGAAGTCAGGGAAGAATTCAAGGCTCTCAGTTTAAGCCCCAGTACATGTGAACACATGTGCGTGCGTGCACACACACAGAGTCTATACTAAACATATTCCGATATTGCTGCTGTCGTTATACCCTAAGCAACACAGGATAATGATTATTTATGTAGCATTTACATTGTATTAGGCATTGTAAGTAATTGAGGGATGACTTAGAGAGGGGTGTAGATAGGCTATGTGAATACTGCCCCATTTTATATATGATCCAAGCATCCTCAGATCCATGTGGGTCTTGGCACCAACCTTTGTATTTTGAGGAACATCTACTGCATTATCTAAAGGGTCTCCAGAGAGCAGGTCCTTGACATTCAAAACTCTCTCTGCTGAGAGCCCAGAGGCCATGACTCACACTTATAATCTAGCTACTCAGGAGGCTGAGATCTAAGGATCACTATTCAAAGCCAGCCAGGGCAGGAAAGTCTATAAACTCTTATTTCCAATTAACTACCAAAAAGGCCAGAAGTGGAGCTGTAGCTCAAGCAGTACAGTGCTAGTCTTGACTGAAAAAGCCCAGGTATGGAGCCTAGGCCTGAACTGAAGTCCTCCTCGATCCCCCTCCAAAATCACTGCCGAGTAACAATGTCCACCAATGCTCTGAACACACCTTGCTCCCTTTCTGTCTAAGGATACAGTGTGGAAACCTTGGCCTAATCTAATTCTCTTATAGTAGTAGAGAGACAAGCCTGGGCCCTTCTCAGGATGTTAAGTTAATGGTAACAAGGTGCCAGGTCCTGCTTTGGCCCCTGGAAGTACACCAAGTAGAAAAGGCAGGCACGTGGAAGTCTCAAGTGGAGGAAGAGCCAGCCCACTTGGACATTAGGGAAAGCTGAAAGGTCAATACCCATGCTTAATTCTTAAACCACAGGGATACATTTTTATTTCAAACTCTCCAAGTGCAGGAGAAACAGCACCTAGCATCAAGGACATCAGCACTAAGGCAGTAATCCCAGGCTGGTGGCCTTGAGTTCAGAAGTTAGCTCTCCCATGTGAGTGCCGCCTCCCTGACTCAAATCATCACCAGTAGCCACTGTTAAGGACAATACCAAGTTAGAGGCACTCCAAGCAAAGTCACAAAGAACCCTTAACAGAAACGGCAGCCACACTCTCATCCATCTCTGCTGGTGGGGCTGAGCAGGCCTCAAGGAAGAGTAAGACTAGTAATAGTTGAAGGTCAACTGCAGTTAAACCTTAAGACAAAGCACCTACCTGGTGCACACTGACAAGAACCATGATCATCCTTAGAGCTGGACAGTAATGATTTTAAATTGCCTCCACATTGCAATTCGCAACCCCAAAAATGTACGCAATCCCAGCTGTTGGGGGGGGGGGGTGTGGATGGGGAGAAAACCTACTGAGCTCATAGTATGGAGTGGACAGAGTAGAGGAAGACCTACTCAGGCTGAGGAGACGCAAAATAATCATAAAAGAATGCAATGGTCAGCCTGGGAATATGGCTTAGGGGTACAGTGCTTGCCTAGCATGTACTCAGTACCACATAAACAGAAAAAGCTGGAAGTGGCACTGTGGCTCAAGTGGTAGAGCACTAGCCTTGAGGAAAAGAAGCTCAAGGACAGTGTCCAGGCCCTGAGTTCAAGCCCCAGGACTGGCAAAAAAAAAAAAATTTAACCCCTCTGTGCACTATTTTTACAATAAAAAACATATTTTTTAAAAAAAGAAAAAATATATCAGCTGGAAATAGCCAATTTTTTCTTCACAATAAAACCTAAGAAAATATTTTTCTGAAAAAAAGTGAAACTACTTAAAGATAATAATAATAAAAGAATGCAATGGTAGGTACAACAGCTATCTTCCCACACAGTTTTCCTGGGGTAGAGAGGGGACATTTCTACTCTCCCTGGTTTCCTACAAGGTAGAAACAACAAACAGCATTGTTCTTCCTCTTGAGGACACTTCATTGAGTGAACAAGTCCAGGGACTCTGACAAGGTCCCAGAATAGCAACTACAAAGACAAAAAACAAGTGGCTATGGTTTGCCCAGGTAGGGAGCAAGATGGAGCATGTAGGCAGAAAAGTGTTTACAAGCCCTTGACCTAAGATGTGCGCTGGGAGGGGGCAAGCTAGATCAGGCCCTGGGCTCCCAGCCAGCCCCTGCTGGACCTGAGCCCATGCGAATTCCAGAACAGGGTTGCATAGTGAGCAAGCAGCCCTCCCCAAAGTGCCGCCTCTCACCTGTTGACAACTGAGCCGCTCCAGGTCCTTCCTATCTAGGGAGGG